CCGCCTGCCCCTCTCCGATGATTGTTGCGGCTCATGGAGACGGTGGCAGGCTCAAGCAGAGGCAGAGACTCAATCGTGGGACCGGAGTCGAGAGACCGACCGGCTCGCAGCCGGAGGGGGAGGCTCACGAGACCTCAGACGCGCCGCCACTTGTACCTCCGTCCAGCGGAGGGAAAGAAAAGGTACCCGCTCGGTGGGAGGAACGGCAGGGAGGGGACCCGGCACTTGGTGGGTGTTTTGCGTGGCAAACATGTACCCTGGCCTTGATGATGGAAGTCGGCGGAGGTACCGAGGACGGGGATGTACGATACCGAAGCGACGGGGCCTGGGTTGCCCTTGTCTAATGGTTCATGGGGGAGAAGAGATGTGGGAGGCTGAGTGGTACTCTACATGAAGCTCTGTACCGCGCGGTAATCTCGCAGTACAACCACTGCCCTCGTTCTGGACACTGATGACCTTGCAGTGAGAGACAAACATGTACCCCCACCATCTGGGACTTGAACGCCCCGGACATTGGATCGTCGGTAGCGGCCCCGGGGATGCTTAAGGCGCTGTGAGCGCTGTCGGCACTGCAAGATCCCCTGCGAGGATAGTGGTCAGAGCGCCTGGAAGGTTCTGTCAGACAGGCCCGGTGTCGTCGATATCTGGAGGAGACTTGACTTCCCCCACCGGCTCACGATGGAAAAAGTCTGTGTGTATCAACGGCGGCACCGAGAGACCAAGCCTGAACCTGGAGAACCCCGTGGATAACTTGAATCCAATCTCCACTGAATTCCCAGTTTTCACCACGATTCTCCATCGTCACTAGACCTTGCCGCTTGCTTCTCGCTCCGGCCACCAGACATCTAATTTTTTCCTTCTCCATTCCCCACCTCCACCAGCTCCGATGGGGATCTCTTCGCAGAATCCAAGGCACATGACACACCCACATCCTGTTCTTGGCTAATGTCACACCTCGCTTCCCAGCCGTTCACCTTTCATGTCACACCCTCCATCTCACACGCCCATGCCCGGCCCGGCCCTCAGTCGGTGCCGTCTGTAAGTTTGTACCCTCACGGAACCGGCATCGCGGGCGGCTTCAGTTCAAGGCCTCAATCGCGCTCAAGAAACGGCAGCGTCATGGTGGACGACTCAGAAACGTGCACTGCACCGTGACAGTCCCGGCACATTGCCGTGCCGTGTCCTCGGTCAAACTCGAGCCTAGGCTTTGGACTTGGGTATATCAAAGATGAAAGCCGGGAAGGGGAGGGGAAGCTCGTGGAACTGGATTGGAACTGTTGTAAGCAAGAATAGAAAAAGGTCAAGAGACAGACAAGAGGTCATCTTCCACCATCACCACAAAAGCGTTCACTTGCCGGGTCTCACATTCCCTCACCACCAACAGTCGACGTAGACAAGCATCACCATGGCTTCCAAGGTGTGTAGCATCTCCCCCCCTTGTCGCACCTTTCTTATTAGCTGTCTTGGACCATTTCCCCAACAAACAACTGCGAGATACAGCCTCCACTAACACCGGATCTCTTTCCCTCTGCAGCTCAACGACCCTACGCTCCTCAAGACGTCCTGCTACGTCAACGGCCAATGGGTCGCTGCAAAGTCTGGCAAGGTCTTTGCCGTCGAGAGTAAGCGCTCCAACCAACCAAGCTCTCTCGACATCCATGGAGCTAACGTCACTGTGCTGCAGACCCCTCGACCCTTGAAGAGGTGGCGAGATGCCCCGAGTTTGACGGACAGGACACCGAGGCCGCCATCGCAGCAGCCGCCGCCGCATTCAAGACCTTCCGCAAGACCCCGGCGCGGCAGCGGGCCCGCCTGCTCCGCCGCTGGTACGATCTCATGATCGAGAACGCCGAGGACATTGCCTGTCTCATCACCCTTGAGAACGGCAAGCCGCTGTCTGACGGCAAGACTGAGGCTATCTACGCTGCCAACTTCTTTGAGTGGTTCTCCGAGGAGGCTCCCCGAATCTACGGCGAGACAATCGAGGCCAGCAACCCATCATGCCGTCTGTCTACTGTTAAGCAGCCCGTGGGAGTCTGCGGTCTCATCTGCCCATGGAACTTTCCCGCTGCCATGATCACCCGTAAGGCCGGTCCTGCTCTCGCTGCTGGCTGCACCGTCGTCGTCAAGGCTCCCGCTGAGGCTCCCCTGACGGCTCTCGCCCTCGCCGAGTTGGCGCACCGTGCTGGCATTCCCGCCGGTGTGGTCAACATCATTACTGCTCTGGACAACACGGCCGAGGTTGGCAAAGTCATCACCACGCACGCCGATGTCAAGAAGGTGTCCTTCACCGGATCGACCGGCGTGGGCAGAATCCTGATGAACCAGTCCTCGTCGACCATCAAGAAGCTGTCCTTCGAGCTGGGCGGAAACGCCCCTTTTATTGTTTTTGAGGATGCGGATCTGGACAAGGCAGTCAAGGGTCTGATCGCCTGCAAGTTCCGCTGCTCAGGCCAGACTTGCGTCTGCGCTAACCGCATTCTCGTGCACCGCAGCGTCTACGACAAATTCGTCCAGATGGTGCTCGACGTTGTCAAGACCTTTGTCGTTGGTGACGGCTTTGGTGAGAAGACGACTCACGGCCCTCTCATTCACGGTCGTGCCGTGTCCAAGGTTGCCGAGCACGTTGAGGATGCCATCTCCAAGGGCGCCAAGCTCGTCCATGGTGGCAAGGCCCTGCCCCACCTGGGCCCCAACTACTTTGATCTTACCATGTTGACGGGCATGAAGCCTGGCATGAAGATCTGTGATGAGGAGACGTTCGGCCCCGTGGCGGCCTTCTTTGCTTTTGACACTGAGGAGGAGGCTATCGCGATTGCCAACGACACCGATGTTGGTCTTGGAGGCTACTTTTTCAGCAACGACGTTAACCGATGCTACCGAGTGGCTGAGGCTCTGGAAGTCGGCATGGTTGGTGTCAACGTTGGTAAGTCATTCACAAGTCAAAAACCAAGTCCAACAACTAAACATATCATGATAGGTGTACTAAGCGACCCTGCGGCGCCCTTTGGCGGTGTCAAGCAGAGCGGTTTCGGCCGTGAGGGAAGCAAGTACGGCATTGACGAGTTCACAGTGACCAAGATGGTTATGACAGGCATTGATGTATAGGTTAATGATTTTCTTTAATGATTGATAGACGGTCTATGGAAGGATGGAGGAATACCCAAAATGGTGGCATGTAAGTGGTCGAAAGCGGCCTCAGCATTACGTATATAAAGCGAAAGAGTTTTCTATGAATAGACGTTATAAAAGGCATCATCTAAACATGGTAGTTGACACATATTGCACGTGATATCAAGAGAAGTGCGTTGACTATTCTTCTCATGCAAGCTTCTGTCACAGCCCAGCACTGAAGCACCGGGACAGGTACGGCATAAAACCCACGCCTCACCCTCTCACACAGACATTCCCGGGCCAAGCTCCTTCCGGACGAGCAGGTGGAACCCTAAGCCCGTACAGGGGGGGCAGAAGGGAGGGTGTTGAGCCGCATGGCCTCAACACCAAGGAATGGCATCGTGAGTGCCGGGAATGGTGGCATGGGTGGGCGGGTATGGGTTGTCGGATGTGCAGGATGGTGCAAGGCAAGAGGTATGAGGTGAATTTGGTTGTGGAGGGGGGGCCACGGCGTTGTTGTCTTGGGGGGGTTCTGGTTCAGGGGTTACTGTGAGATATGGAGGTATGTCACCGAGGAAGTGCCTCGGGTTGGATACACAACTCCATGATGACCATAGACCTGGTCATCTTCATTTGCGGTGTTTAAAAAGTGCCAATATCATATCCCGATGAAGCCATCAAGACTTGCGAAACTCTCCACTTCAGATCCCGGCCTTGGTGTTTTTGACAAAAGAGAAATGGCCCGAGTGGGTCCCTTCTCTGCAAGCCTCCCTCCGGTCCCATCAGATCTGGGTGTTCGTTTGCTCGGCATTTGGGGTATAGGGCGGAACCAGAGTCGTTCTCTGCAAGCCCAGAAACGAGCGGCACTTGGCCGGTTCTCCAAGACACACTCCGGGCCGGTCCGGTCTTCACCGAGAGGGGGGGGGCAGAATACTGGAATTGGGCAAAGGTGTGGTGAAAAAAGAGAGGTGTGAGGCAAAGCCACAGCGATCGCCACGACCGGGAAGAGATGCCGGTCCCACAAAGAGGTGTGTATCGAAGAAAGCAGATACGTCTGGTTTCGGAGATGGACAAGACGCAGATTCAGTTGGTCATGTTTTTTATCGAGTTATCTTCTTGTCCCCCCCCCCCCTTGCCAGAGTTGAGACTTGGTAGCCGGTCGTGATAAGACACCAATAGTCATGCCGATGAATGTACATGACAACACAACTCTTTGTGGCTTGGGGAATGGGTTGCAATGGAAATTCATGTCCGGGAAAGACTATTCAAACTTTGCATGATAGCTACCCTTTACAGATGGGCATACATGCAGATTAGCCCAAGTGTTTTGTTATCTTTGGTTAATGAACCACACAACGTGGGCAACCAAGACTGTCACACTAGTCCTAATCTCGGAACCGAGGCGTCGGCTCCCGTCACGACTCGGGAAATGTGCAAAATACCTACCAAGAACCGATTAGCTCTGGTTTATAAGCACAATGACAAAATCAGTAAAAACATGGGGAAATGAAACAAAGCACATGACGATGAGACCAAATTACATACCAAATACAGGAAAACTGCCCGGCGGGCATCAGTCTCCAGGTTATTCTCTTCCCCCGGACGGCCGTCGGCTCCGGGGTAGTTGACCTCCGTAGTAGTGATGGGGCCGGCCGGCGGCGGGAGGACAGAACAGGACCGGAGTTGGAAAGGAAGAATGTACGTATGTACGTAATAAGTGGATGTTTTTACAAACATGTTCCCCAGATTTTGCGGAACCTCAAGGAACAATGATGATGGGGTTCGTTTCGCCTCTGTTATCTCGTGCCGGTCAAAGTTTGAGCCTCCCGCCGGGCACGGAGCGGGGGGACCGGGGAGGAAAGATTCCAAGTCACACAGCGTATTTTCGAAGAAAGGGATTTGTTTTCCATTGACAAGGTTGGACGCCCTGTTTCTATTCTCCTACGAATAGTATCGAGGTATTCAAACCGTGTCTCCCTCACTGGCTCGACAAAACTTGTTCCACCTCGATGACTACGGTATGAATTGGCGAAGGGGGTCATGCATCCATCCATTACTTGGACTCTCCGGCAGCCAGGATGTCTTCTACCCTCTTGACCTTGTCCGCTGCCGTCTGCTTCTTGTCCGTCCTTGATAATCGTCAGCATTCGACTCAAGACTGTATCCTGAAAGGCCTCAACTCACCGGCTACCGACTCTCATGGATGACTGAATCCTCACCACGCCTCGCTTGTGCACAGCAGCATGGGCCTTGCCAACGGCAGCCATGACTTCGTCCCAGGAACCCTCTGCAAAGTCTCGGTCAGCTTCATCTCGGCACAGCTTGCCTCAGCTCAAGAAATGACGCACCGACTGTGGTACCAGCAGAGTGAAGCGTATACTTGAGCCCGCTCGCCTTGAGAACCTTTTGCACCTCTGCAATATCCTCAGCCACCGAGACAGTCCCCGTACCGAGCTGCCCGGAGTTCGTCAGCGCTGTGCAGTTGGTTTACATCACATCATGACTCACGGGTAGGAGACAAAAGTCGACGTAACACGACTCGGGAGTCGCGAGGCTATCGTAATCCATGGTAAAGGGCTTTCGAAATGTGCTATAACTGAACGTCTGGATGTACCGCCTGGAAGAGGTTACGAGGAGACGGGGACGCATTGGGAATGTGATGGAGTGAGGGTGTTTTTGAAGGTGGGTAGGGGAAAGGGTCGAGATGACCAATTGGCTGAGGGAGACGTCACAAGCAACTAACAGCAGCATCACCTCTCAACTTCATGATGATGCACCAAAAGTTACTGATGTTCATTCACAGTTTGGTCATTATTAGTTAATTGCAGCAGACATCACGTTCAAAGTCGACTTCAAATTCTCCATGGCATATATGCCTTGTTCATTCATCAGTCTATCTATGTAAGAGTTGGAGTTGTATCCCCTCAGTTATGTAGACCAATTTTCCCAATCTATGCTAAATGCAGCCTGATCCAGTTGATTCATCAGGTATACCAATATCCATCCTATCCGCCCGAACGCAATGCAAAGCTTGCTAAACCTGAACGCCTCGCTGTGCCCAAATTTACCAACCTGATTTATGAGATGAGGCCACTCAGGACCTGATAAGCATGTGTTTTGTGGGGTGTATGTCGCAAGAAAACAAAAGAAATATGCCGAAACTGAGGGTGTCGTTTACACCAGCAGAACCGCAGCAGCGACAAAGGCAGTCAGGGCGGTCATGCCCAGCCGCCTATCAGGGCTGTTGCCCATGGACTCGTCATCGGTGTCCTCGACAGCCTCGCGACCAGTGGCACCCGAGATGCCGTTCATCGTGTCGGCGGCGGCGAGAACCTGGCCGTCCTCAAAGAAATCGACGAGCACAAAGTTGGGAGGGGCAGACCACTCCTGACGACACTCCTGGAGATGCTTGCCTAGGTTTCCATCCTGAGTCGTGTTGTCGCTGTTGACAATCTCAATGTTGTTCACATCGGGGACGAACAGGTCGCTGCCCTCGACCAAGCTCTGGTACTTGAAGTGGTTTACCAGGCTGAGATAGTTGGACGATAGGGCTGCGGTGGCACTGTCAAGCTTGGAGGGTCGGTCGAGGGTGCAGTTGAAGTCGCCCAGGTTCTGCACCTCAAAGGCCGTCTCGAAGACGTAGTCGAATTCGGGCATCAGGAAAGGGTAGTCGGTCGATGGGTCGATGTTGGTGACAAAGGCGACGACGCGCTGGTTCCCGCTAATCATGTCCTCGAGAGTTGGCCAGTCGCCAGAAGGTCCTTCGCCGGAAGGTCTATAAGCGAGATCGGCGATGCCCGAGTCGTTGAAAGCCTTTCCAATCTCAGAGGGAGATGCCTTGTCGGAGTTGACGAGGAGGAAGGTGACGACCTCGTTAGGGTTGGCGACGATCCAGTCGTTGACGTTGCTCAACCAATCCTCAAGGGGGCCAGCATCAAGAATCTCGCACGTAGTATGACACAGGCGGAGGGTGCTATTCTCCTTGTGAACCTGGGCCTGCAAAAGACGAATACCAGCACCGAGGGCATCAGTAGCGTTGTAGTTCTGGTTACCGGCGGCACCAAACGTCGACGTAGACGAGTCTCGGAGAAAGGAGCTGCCGTGAGCCCCCATGTGGGTGACGTTGTTGTAGCTACGGCTGCACAGGTCGGGAGAGTTGTTGCAGGCCTTTGATGAAGATCCCGAGCCGGAGCCGGAAGACTGGGGGAGGGCGTAGACGGCGGAGGCGGCGACGAGGGCTCCGGCCACGGAGCTGAATGAAGGAAGAAGCATGATGGCGGTTGTGATGTAGATGTAGATGTGTATATGTCTGATGGTGTTTTTGGTGTTGTAGATGAAAAAAGTACAGATACACACAAAAACAAAAGAGATCAAATCAAGATACAATGATGATGGACCTTGTATATTCAAGAAGAAGGAAAAAGGACGCGAATTATGAAACGAAAGAACAGTAGGTAGTTAATGAACAAAAAAAGAAGATCCAGGGGATCTCGTCTGTGCTTTAAAGCTGACGTCGCCCGGCTCCAGTTTTTGGAGGTTGGGGGGGGGGGGGGGGGCGGGCTTTGTAACGAGTCTAGAGGCGTCAAGACCCTAAGGCTTTCTCCACCGTCAGGCTACGCAACTGGAAGATGTGCAGCAGGGCAGGGGAAGGGGGGCTGAGCTGAGGACGTCAGCAAATGGTGGATGCATGTAGGTTTTTTGTTTGTAAGGCCATGGTGTTGTTGCTTTCAAACATGGCTAAGAAAAGAATCACTCTGCATCGTATTAATGCGGGCCATTACTCCGTACATCGCCATGTTTAACATTCCGTTCACCGATAAAACTAGTCTAGTCAAGCATACGGCTATGCTTCTTCTTCTGTCAAACATTCTCGTACTGGCCGCGCGTCATGTATCTACAGTTGGCTGGTCAGCAAACCTATTGATCGACGAACAAACGTGGGACGATAGAATTCTCTGACACAGAAAATGTACATTCAAAGATCGACCTCCTCTTTTCTCACTCGGGATCAACGGCAGGTGTCAGCCCGCCAAGCTTCAACAAGGCTTTTGTTGTCTAGAAAATGCGGGATGTGGATGGATGGTGTCTCTTTTTTGGGGGCGGCGCTTATACAGTCTTGGCGAGATTGGATCTCGTTTACTCCGTACATGATTTCACTTTCCTTGTCTGCAATCTAACAATGAGATTAACAAAATAGAAAGATACTAGATATACTGCTAATATGAATTTGAATAAACAGTCAATCTCATCTCGAACTCATTGTCATAATCTACAAACTCTTATGCATCCAGCCTCTTCATGATCGCCCGCCAGCCACGCCGGGCACATGTTGATGGAGGCTGTGCATAAAAGACCCGCTTCTATTTTTATCCAACCCCCTGTCCACCTTGTGCCACCTTGATCGGGCGGCTCAACATCACGACTTCAACACGCCATGAGACCAGGCCAGGCCATGGCAAATCACATTCTCGCCACTGGCAATCCAATACTTCCTTGAGAAACATGTTCGAACACTCTTGAAGCGGCATAGGTATCATAATTGGCCGCATAGTATTGCAATTTACCAAATACACTATACTACTACTGTACTGTACCAACCCGCTCTGAATGCCAACCTTGTTTGTTTTACCCTCGTTTCACCATCGCCCTCATGCACACCATCATGTATGCTCAGAGCTACTTACTCAGGGTCTCCGTACTCTTGCTTCTTGTCTGACGCAGCAGCAGCCTCGATATCCTTGAGCTGCTTCTGTCCCTCTTCTGTCGTCGCATCGATTATCTGCTCTTCCAAACTCAGAATGTTGGCCTATCAAAGGTTAGTTCATGTCGGTCAACATCATTCGCTCGACTTACCTCGCCAAACAGACCAACGAGCTCCTCAGCCTCATCAACCTTCATCTCTCCCAGCACCTTGTTCACCTCATCTAGCTTGCCCGACTCCAGAGCCTTGCGCATCTCGGGCGAGAAGCTCTCAAAGATCTCACGTGCCTCCTGCTCCTCGGGGTCCTGGCTGTCCGCTGCCGGCACTGTGATCTGAATGACTGTTCCAGGTTCCACGGCATGCAGCTGGATCTGCTCGACGCCCTCTGTCTCCCCTTCCTTGGCACGCTCCGCCAGGATCTCCTTGGACCTCGTCCGGATCTTCACGTATGTTTCCTGCACATCCTTGTAGAATACATCCTGGGCTTGATGTCCCTTGGTCGTGATGCGCTTGAAGAACAGTCCAACTCCGTCCTTGCCCAGAGCTCGGCAGTACTGAAGGAGAAGAGCCTGGTGCACGTATTGTCTCGAAAGCTCGTCCTTGCCCTCAAGAGCAGCGTCAAAGGCCAAGACCAGCAGTCCGTCCGTCTCCCGCTCCACAAGGAGCTGCGGGTTCTGCGACAGGAACTGGAGACTTGCCGAGTAGTCGTTGGCCTTGATCGAGCCAAACTTCTTTCCCGCTGGCGAGGCCTCAATGTCTGCATCGTCGTCCACCTTGACTTCTTCCTTTGCGCCACCGGAGCTTGATGCGCCACCGGAAAAGTTGGGGTTCAGCAATTCCACCTGTGTAGACTCCTGCTTCTTGTCGGCCGGTGTCGACTTGGCAACGTACGAGCTGTCGAACCCAGTGTGGATGCTCTCGCTAGTAATCTTGCGGCTCTCCTCTGCCTGGAGCTCCCCAAGCTTCACAACCAACTCCTTCTGCAGGCTCTCAATCTTATCCTCGTGTGTCTGAATCTCGGCAATCATTGCCTCGTATCGGTTCTCGGGATTCTTTTCGTCAAGAGCCTTGTTGACTTGGTCCAGCAGAGTCGCCATCATCTTGGTGTACGATGGCTGCTCCTTCTCCTGTGTATGGACACCCTCAGGTGGCGAGGGAGGCTTATCGTCCTTGGGGTTCCCAGCCGACTCCATAACCGCCTGGAAAGCAACCTCGGCCGGGTTTCTAGTTGCGGCCTCGGAAGCATGGGCTCGTAGCGATGCTAGGAGGGCCGAGATGCGCTTGATCAAGCCATCGTTGACGACGCGCTCGTACTTGAGGGTCTCAATCTGTAGTCTGCGGTGCTGTCGCTCTTGATGAATCTGGTTCTGCTTCGCCCGGATGAAAGACCGCTTATCGACGTTGGGATGCACTTCAATGTCCGAGTCATCGCTGAGCTCGAGCGCGTCCTAGCAAACAGTCAGTAAATCGAGGCTGACCATTCGGAGTGAGTACTAACCCATTTGCTGTAATCGACGGGCATGATGACTGAGTGAGTATACTGCGCCTTGATCTTGTGTCTCGACGATAACTTGTTCCACCAAAAAGTGAAGATGAAGCCAAGTACAGAGCCGATCTTGTGCTCTGCCTTGTCAGAGTGGAAGATTCTGGACGTTGCTTCTGAGCTCGACCATGATGGCGGGGTCACCGGGAGCACCCCACCATGAGCATTGGGCAGCCACACCCGGCATGAGCCACAACTTCCAGGCGCCACAGAATAACATCACATCACCATCACGATTTCACAAGGTGAAAGAAACAGTAAAAGATAATTCATGACGATGGGCAAAAAAGAAAACCCAATGCGTAATCTGGGAATCGAACCCAGGGCTCCCCGACGTTACTCGAATGGCAACGGAGAATTTTACCACTAAACCAATTACGCTTTGATTGTTGAAGGTATGCAGTCAAAAATTGCCTCACATACTTGGCAGGCCACCATCAGCAGGACAATGCATGTTTCCCCCATCATTCTCTTGGAGACGGTACACTCTCAACACTCACAAAGCCTCATGGAAACCAAACCTTGTATAGCCATGTGGGATTCCATTTCCGGAATCAACCCTGATCTTCATAAGCAAGAGTACTCCTTCGCTAAAATGATCTAAGCTATTGTACAGAGGTATTGACGCAGTTCCAAAACACCATATTCTAAACGAGCCAAGATCCCTTCTCAGCAACTGTCCTCCACTCACGACATGGTCTTCATAAAGTCGTCCAAGTCGAAGCTCTCCTCGTACTGCTTGTTGTCCCATAGCTCCCCTAGATCATCCAGCCATGCCTTCTTTCCGGGCGCGCGCACATCGCCTGTTTCGATATCCACCATGTCTTCTTCCCTTCCTTCAATGTTGTTCTTTTCCTTGTCCGATATGAGGTTCGGTGCAGCATCGCCCACATTGAACAGGTCCAGGATCTGATCTGTATCCATTGTTGAAAGACCCGCATTCTGTTGGTTGACAACTGTCGATGCCACATCGATCTTGAATCGCTGGAGGTTCAAAATCTTCTCCTCGAGTGTTCCACGCGTGATAAGTCGGTACACGTTGACCACCTTCTTCTGACCGATGCGATGCGCTCGGTCCATGGCCTGCAAGTCCTTTTGCGGGTTCCAATCATGCTCGACGAAAATGACAGTGTCGGCTCCTGTCAGGTTGAGACCAAGACCACCCACACTTGTCGTCAATAGAAGGACATCGTATGACGGGTCGCTATTGAACTTGTTGACAATGTCCTGTCTCTTGTTCGCCTCGACTGAGCCATCGAGTCGCAGGTGCGACACCGAAGGCAGCAACTCCTTCAAGACCTTGTTCTGTACCATGTCAAGCATCTCCTTCATCTGACAGAAGATGAGTGCTCGATGGGGTTTGATAGGCTGGTACAGAGGGTCGTTGGATTCGTTGCCTTCGACACCAATGCCGCAGTCCACCAAAAGGTCTCTCAGGGCAGTCAACTTGGGTGCATGCTGGGTATCTTCGATCGATGTGCCCTTCTTGTTCAGGATTCTTTGCGTGTCATCGTAGAAGGGGGTTCCTGGTTTCATGACCATGGCAGGAGAGTTGCACAGCTTGCGCATGTACTGTAGCGCCTGGAAGATATGCTGCTTCGCTTCCTTGTCCTCCCGACCAGCCTCTGCCTGGATCTTCTTGCCCTGCTTCCTGGTAAAGTCCTCAAAGAGCTTCTTCTGCAGGTCGCTCAGGTCGCAGTAGTAGTTCTGCAAGATCTTGGGCGGGAGGTCGTTCAACACTTCTTCCTTAAGACGACGCAGCAGGAAGGGGAGCACCTGCTTGTGAAGTGCCTCGATTGCGAGAGCTCCCGCCTCTTGCTCCTTGGACGAAGCCTTGCTAAATCGACTTGCTGCGATCGGCTTTGCGAATCGATCCAGGAAGACCTTCTCAGCACCCAAGAAACCCGGCATCAAAAAGTCAAACAGGGACCACAGCTCCAGGACGTTGTTCTGAATGGGTGTGCCAGTAAGGATGAGACGGTGGTTACTGGCCAGCCTCTTGACCGCTTGAGTGATCTTGGCCTTGGGGTTCTTGATGAGATGACCTTCGTCGAGGACAACATAGTTCCAGCTATGCTTGTCAAGAATGTCCGAGTCGTTGCGACAGACGTCGTACGATGTGACCACAATGTCCGTTTCGCCCAGTC